TGGCTGAGGTCTTGTTCTCGCTGGGCACATTAAAAGTGGAGTTTAGAAACTGTGGGGTGTTGTTCAAACAGACCACACACCTCAAAACCTCCAACCCCATCCTTGAACATTTCCACGTTCCCACATCTTCTTAGGGCAACCTGGAATTGTTTTTCCATGTTTATGTTGCCCCTGTGCCCTTGAAATATTCCAATTTTTTCCCTCCAACTTTCCTTCACCTGCCCATCTTTTTCACCTCACTCTTGGAATATTTCCTTGTTTATTTGAGGTGTTTTGGTTTTTTTTTAATTGAACTAGAGATGTGTTAAGTTTTGTTCTATCCCCCAGTTTCTCTCACAGGGATGTCCAAGAGGAATTGTATTTAGGAATTATCATGGAAAATTAAGGGATGTGCTGAACTCCTTTTATTTTTGAGGTGCTTTGCTGGCTGGGGTGTTAAACTGGGTGGAATTAGAATTCATAATTATCAGATTTTTTTTCCTCTATTCAAATGATTCTTAAACCAGGAAGCCTGAAGGGAAATGAGGGAGACAGGAATTCCCAGTTTATCCCGTTCTTCCTAAAATGCTGGGATTTAATGACACCTTTCCAGTTTTACTACTGGGAAAATAGTCAAATGCTGGGGACCAGCAACACCACCAAGGATTTTTCCTTTAATTCCTCCTGCAGGACTGGAAAATTCAGTCTTTAAACTGCTCCTTCTGGCTCTGAGTATCTGCTGAAGGTTATTAAAAGTTGTTAATTATGTCACTAATTCCAGGTGAAAGAAACCCAGGACTGTTCGGGCATGCAGGAACCTCAATCCCACATTTGCAATTTCCCTGTAAAACACCAAAAGCTTGGGATTCACCTCCAAGGGGAGATCACAGAATCTTCTCCCAAAGGACTCCTCTTGCTGGAATTTTGGTGGTGAATTTTGAGCTCAACCCAAACACAATTTTTTGATGGTGTTCCTTGGATGTGAATTTTAATATTTTGATGTCGGTTTTGGGCTTTTCCTTGCTGGCACTGCTGGGTCTTGGTGGTGCTCCCTGGGGCCAGCACACAAACACCTCAATTCCTGAGGTTTGGGGGAGTTTGGGGACACCTGGAGGGTCATAATTCGGAAGATTTCTGGTTGAAGCTCTGGGATTTTTGGGATTCCAGCACATGGGTCATGTCCATCCTCTTATCCACCAAATCCTCCTCAGGGCTGCTCCAACACCCAGCCCCAAGGTGCTTTGTCCTCCAAAACCTTGGTCTGAATCCCCAAGTTTATAGAAGATAATTCCTCCTTCAGGGATCACCTGTAAGAACCAAACTGCTTTTCCAGGAACACCAAATGCTGGGTGCTCTTTGCTTCAGCAAAGGTTTAAATGGAATTAAAACTGGCAGAAGGCTTTAAAAAAAAAAAGGGTACAGCAAAATTTAATTTAGTCAGACATGTTTTATTTGATGCTGATAGAGGAGAGCTATAAATAGTAATAATAAGTTATTCTTAACAGCAGAGTTACTGATCTGAGACGCAGATAAAGCCCAGCTTTGTGCTAGACTGGACTAGCTAGGTCTGGTGAACACAGAGAATGAAATTATTACAGTCCCAGTTTAGCTCTTTCCCCAGCATTTATGGGGAATTTGAGGAATCCTTTCCAGCAGCTGCTAAAAAAATCAGCTTTCATCTCCCTCAGCCATGAGCTGAGCATTCATGAAGCATCCCGAGCCAGAAATGAATCAAATCCATTGAAATCTGGCCCAGAACCCAAGGGCTGAGCTGCAGATCCCGTGAGACAGCGATGGGGCTCATTCCTGGCCACTTAGGGAGCGTCTGAAGAGGTGGGAAAATAAAAATCTATTTTTACTGGGTGCCCAAAGGCAGAGCCACAGCCCTCAGAGCCATTCCTGAAGGAGCAGATGTGGGACAACCCCGGGATTCACCAGCAGAGCTAAAGCTGCCCTCTCTGAGCGTTAATTCTTTGGTGTAATATTTTAAATTAATGAGTTAATAATTGCTGTTAATAGCTGGCTTTTGATGCTCCAGGATTTTCCCAGTTTGGCTTGAGACACCCCAGCACTTACTGGGCTGTTCTGGTTAATCCTGCCCCAAATATCCCGAATCAGAGCTCAGACTCACTTGGGGCCTGGCTGCTCCTCGGGAAGAAAGAGAGAAATGTCTTTCCCAAAGAATCACCCAGATTTTTTATTTATTTATTGTTTTTTTGAGTGCTTGACACCAACTACTCCTTTAATCCTCACCTCTGCATGGCAGTCTTGAAACACTTCATGATTTATTTTGTGGGTGAGGTGGTTTTAGGAGCTGTTTTCACAGCGGGGTTGTGCACAAAGGTTTGAAATCCCTCTGTGCACGCACAGGCAGGGAGGGAGGGGTTCACTCCCCTGGATCCTGATGGAATAAATTGATCCATCTAAACCCCTCCTCAACGAGACATTTTGACCTCCTAATCTCCCTGCAGGAACACAAGGGTTTTGTAGCTTTCCCCAAGACTTCTAATCCCCATTCTGGGTTGGCATTTCTCGATTTCTGTCAAATTTTTCATCTTCCTGGTGCTGTCTCAGAGCCTCTCTGCTCCTTTCCACCGAAGCTCCTCGTTGGGATGATTCACAGCCCCGAGAGCAGCAGACAGGTTGTTCTGTTCCTGGGATCTGTGGGGATAAATATGGAAATAATTAGGGTGTGTTATTAAACCCCATGCGTCAGGTGAGGGTTTTTGTTCTGATGGATGATTTGAGCTGAGTCAGGAGGGTGTCTCTGCTAGCAATGCTCAGGGTCTGTTCCACTCTTCTCATCTCTAAAAGGAGGTTTCTTTTCCCTGCCCATTTATTTTTGGGATGAGGTCGGCTGCCACCTCCCTGTGTAGAGAGCCACTGAATATTTGCTGTGCCTCAGCCACTTCTGCAGCTGCCACCTGATAAAATCCAGGGAGATGCTTCCTCTCACCAAAAGAGCGGAGATTAAATTGGATTTTAGGCAGGAATTCTTCCCTGTGAGTGAGGTGAGGCCCTGGCACAGAATTCCCAGAGCAGCTGTGGCTGCCCCTGCATCCCTGGGAGTGTCCAAGGCCAGGCTGGAGCAGCCTGGGGTGGTGGGAGATGTCCCTGCTCATGGCAAGGGTGGGATGGGGTGGGATTTAAAGCCTCTCCCAACCCAAAGCAGTCTGGATTCTGGAATTCTTGGCCCAAGCAATGCCCTGTCTCTTTCTGGGGCTGCCGTGGCTTCTTTCCCACACGGAGTTCCCAGATCCTGCCCTCTCCATCCCAGTGCCTGCTCAGCACTGAACTCTCCACACCCAGCCCTGACTCAGTCCTGACACCCAGATCTGCCTTTCAAATCTCTTCACAGTCCAGAACCACCTCCTGCAGCAGGGCAAGGACAGGGATCATCCTCTGCCCACACAGGGATTTGTTCTTTACCCCCTCAAAGCTTTTCCCAAACCTCATTTATTCATTTATTCATCCTGTTCCTCTAGGCCTCCTTCCAGTAATTTTTTCATGTCGTCCTCCAGCCTTTATCTGAATTTTGGGGCACAGTGGTTGGAGGAGATCTGTCCTTGACCCTGTCTCGGTGCTCAATTCTACAGCATTTTTCATGCAAAAGACAAAGGAATTTTTTAAAATTGATATTTATGCTTTAGTAACCCTAAGAGGAAAGCATGGGCCTCTCCAAGATGCTGTGTAGTAATAATGATAATAATAAGAAGAAGAATAATAAGAAGAATAATAAGAAGAATAAGAATTAGAATAAGAATAATAAGAAGAATAAGAATTAGAAGAAGAAGAAGAAGAAGAAGAAGTAGTAATAATAATAATAATAATAATAATCAATTAATTCCAAATTTGGGTCATATTTTGCAGCTTTTTCAGGGGTGTGATCAATCTTTATGTCAACAGAGCAAATTTTAGGTAAAGGTTCTTCCTCCAGAGGGTTGTGGGGCACAGGAACTGCTCAGGATATTTTGGGATTCTCTGGTTATAAATGGCAGCGCTCAGAGAGGTCAGGAGTGCCTCAGACCTGCGTGAGGGAGGTTCCTTTTTGGAGATGCTCTTCCCAAAAACACTGGAAGAGGAAGCAGGAGCAGCAGGGAGCAGGAAAGACCGGTGGAACCCTTGATTTGTGTGCTGGGAGTGAGGATGGCAGTGGGAGAGAGCCGGTGGAGCTTCTCCCAAGAGCATTCCTGCTTCCCTGAGCAGCTTTCAGCTGGCAGCCAGCGCTGATTTCATAGTAATGATTTATTTATTTTATTTCTTTTTTTTTTTTTTAATGAATTGGTGCTTAGACTGCTTTGAATACTTTCTGTTTGGAATACTTTCTGCATGACTAATGAATGTCCCGAAATGAATTAAGCTGTGCTGTTAAACTTCAGCCTGGGTGTACAACCGGCGCTTCTTCCACGTTTTATCTTGGAATTCTCGGGGAGGGGGCATCGCCTGTTATCTAAAAGCCACTTAGCCGAGCTGAGATGTGATGTCACGGTCTGGAAATACGTGGGGCTTTTTGAGCTCAGCCTGCCGAGACACAGACGTGACTTCGGTGTGATAAACCTCATTAACGCCCTTAAAACCTGCGGGCAGCAGAGATAACAAAACCCCGCTGGAAGCTGGCAGGAGATGAAACCCCGCAGCCTCGCAGCCGGAGTTTTGCTTGGATGAAGCTTTCCTGGAAGCCTGTGCTGGGATCTGCCGGTGATTCAGCGCCGGGGAGCTGGAATTCGCTCTCCGCTGACCCTCGGGAAGAGCAGCAGCATCAGCCCCGCAGAGCGGAAAAACGGGAATAATCCCGGTTTGGGGCTGGAATGTTTGTGGTTCACTCCCGGCTCGCCGCATTCCTCTCCTTCACGGCTGCTAATTCCCTGTGCTTTTGAACTCATCCTTTGCTATCCAGAGATATTTTTTTCCAACCCCGCTCCCGGAACGAAGAGGAGCAGGATAACCCACTGATTGATCTGTCCATCGCAGCCCGGAATAACGCAGCACCTCGTTTTTAATGAAGCACGGAGGAAAGCTGGAGCTCAGCACAATTCCCTGCCCGCCGGAGATCCTAATCTCTCCTTCCCGGCAGAGCAGAGCGGGCACTCCATGAGCCGGACCCGGCAGGGAGGCGATCCCAGCCCGCTCCCGCATCCCTGGATCCCGCATTCCCGGATCCAGAATTCCCAGCTCCAGCATTCCCGGCTCCGGCATTCCCGGCTCCAGCATTCCCGGATCCTGTATTCCCGGATCCAGCATTCCCGGCTCCAGCATTCCCGGATCCTGTATTCCCAGCTCCGGCATTCCCAGCTCCAGCATTCCCAGCTCCAGCATTCCCGGATCCTGTATTCCCGGCTCCAGAATTCCCGGGTCCAGCATTCCCGGCTCCAGCACTCCCGGATCCTGTATTCCCAGCTCCAGCATTCCCAGCTCCAGCATTCCCGGCTCCCTCATTCCCGGATCCCGCATTCCCAGCTCCAGCATTCCCAGCTCCCGCATTCCCGGCTCCAGCATTCCCGGATCCCTCATTCCCGGATCCCTTATTCCCGAATCCCGCATTCCCGGATCCCTCATTCCCGGATCCCTCATTCCCGGATCCCTCATTCCCGAATCCCGCATTCCCGGATCCCGCATTCCCGGATCCCTCATTCCCAGCTCCAGCATTCCCGGATCCCTCATTCCCAGCTCCAGCATTCCCGGATCCCGCATTCCCGGCTCCAGGGCTGTCCCGGCCGCCGAGGGAACGATGGAAAATCCCTGAACCAGCGGCTGGAAAATCCTTGCGGCAAAGGTGCGTCCCTGTCTCTGTTTAAACTCCCAAATCCCTTCTTTCTACCACTTTTCCCCATTGTTTCCCCCATTGTTTTCCCCATTGTTTTCCCCATTGTTTCCCCCATTGTTTTCCCTGTTGCTACAGCGAAAAAAAAGCGATTATTTTTAAGTCGGGAAGTCACTGGGGTTGACACGTGCTTAGCAAAACAAACCCGTGCCTGTGTGGGGTTAAAGGGAAAATGTCCATTTTCCTGCCTGCAGCCCTGGCTCGGCGATTCCAGCTGGATTTGGGCGCTCCCCGCCCGGCTCCAGCAGCAGAAGCGGCTCCGAGTTTGCGGCGGGATGAGCCCCGGGGGGAGCTGGAGGGATTTTCGCGTTTGGAACCCGCCCTTCCCTTCCAAACACCCCCTTCTCCCACCAAATTCCCATTTTTGGGGGGGTCACAGCTGCCGGAGAGGGCTCTGCGGGTGTTTCTGGCTCCGGAGAGGCGATGGAGGCGCTCCCGGGGCTGGTCCTGCCCCGCTCCCCAGCGGGGCTCTGGGGTTTGGCAGGAGGCTGGGACTGTGATTATCATTATTTTTAATTTTTTATTTTATTTTATTTTATTTTGAGAGCCTCTCTATGGGAATGGGGCTCTTCACAAGTTGTTTTCCGAATGGAAGCAAAGGGAATAATTATATTTGTTGGGGGTAAAAGAGAATCATGGTGCTGCTAAAGAGCTTCCTGTTATTCTTTCCTGTTAATTAAAAAACGCTGCTCTCTAAAAAAATCATGGAATATTTTGGTTTAAAGGGATCTTAAAGTTCACCCCATTCCAATCCCTGCTGTGGGCAGGGACGCCTTCCACTGGTTGCTCCAAGCCTCATCCAGCCGAGTTTTGGACTAAATTCAATTAAAAATTAAATTGGTTTCATAGATAAATAATTGTGTTTCCAGTTGTAGCCAGTGTGTGTGCTCTTTCCTGCTGAAGTGGAGCGAATATTATCAATTTCTTGATAATTATTTAATTAAATTCTTAAACATCACTTGCCAGTACAATGAGCTGGACAATTCTTTCCCATAGCCACATAATTTCTCCTGTATTTTGGGAATTTTTACTTGGCAATGGACATGGATAGGTGTGAAAACCTGCCCAAACTGTGGGAGTCCCTGCAGGAATATCCATCCTGTGTAATCCACGTTGGTTGATTTTTCCAGTGTCAGGATCCCAGGCTGTGTTTCATTTTTTAAAATCAGGATTCATTTTAAGGCCACACCAGCCCCTGGGCTGATGGATTGGGAACTTCCAGTGGGCAGAGCTGGCACGATAAATGTATTTTCTATATAAAAAATAATTATTCTGTTGCTTCAGAGAGCTGGTTCTGTGGGAACTGTTGTAAAGCACAGAGATCCCGGTGGGAAGAGGGTGGAAATCCCCGGTGTGACCATTAACACACCTTTAGAACAACCTCTGCTGGATTTATCCCTGTTTTTATTGCTGTGGAAAAGCTGTTTTGCACCGAGATGGGAGGACCAGGCTGGCTCAGAGCTGCTGGTGGTGTCAGGGGGTCAGGCTGGTTCCGCATCCCTCTCCAGCCTCGTGGAATCCTGCGGATTTCAGAGCTGTGCGTTATTTTCCTGCTGTGGAAACTCACTGTTGGCGTTCCCTCTGCAACTGGTGCTGGAAGCAGCACAGGAAAATACGAATTTTTCCATTTTTGCTTGATTGTGCTCAGTGCTGAGCTTGCAGGGTCCAGCTCTGCGAGGGACGAGGCGTGGGGATGAGGTTTCTCCACCAGATCCGCGTTTTCTCGGCAGCAGAACGAGCTAAAAACAAATCCTCGGTGAGACAAATGATCTCAAAATTATTTAGCTCATTAGGGCTGCTGGGATAAAACGAATCCCAGCATCCACTCATTAGTTATGCAAGCAGCAAGGACAGGGTTTAACCAGGCTTGCCCTTGGGTCTAACCCCGCTGCCTCCCTACAGCCCCAGGAGGTGCTGGCAGGGAGGGAATCCAACTCTTCCTATTCCCACTGGATTTCTTTTTTTTAGGCCAGTGCTGACATAAAAACATCTGAAAAGTCCTCCTGGCCGGGTTACAGTGGGGGACTTGTTCCCTGTAAATCTAAAACTTGATTTATGCGTCAGCGATCCGCCGGTTCCATTATTTGGCGCTCGCGTGTCTGATCTCGAGGCTGATTTCCTGCCACTCTCTGGTGTAAAAGTAGAGGATAAGTTACAAGGGAGCTTGGAAATGGAATAACTTATTTGCTTTCAGCTCTGCCCATCAGCAGGGTTGGGGTTTTCCAATGGAAACCCAAGTTGCATCCCATGATTTGTTGATCAATCCAGTTTCTCACGGCCTGGATGAATAAAGGGATTTAAGGAGCACGAGAAATAAATGCTGGACATCCCTCAGGATGACTTTTAGGACCTGAGGGCAGGAAGTTCTGACCCCCCTCCTCCTCCTGCCCCGTGTTGTCCTCATGTCAGGTTGATGTGATGGAGTGGGCAGAGCGAGTCCTTGGGGTCAAGCGATCCGAGGGCCTTGGAGAACTCTGGGGAGAGCTGGAGGTGGCTGCTGATGGTCTGGCTCCATGAGATGCACTCAGTGAGACCTATTTAGTGAAAATGAACTCATTTAGCTCCAAAACAAACTGTTATTTCAGCCCTGGGGCGGCTGACGTGGGCCCTGGGTGAAAGGTGCCGTGGCTGCGGCGCTGATTGGGATCTGCCTTTGGAAAGAGATCTTGGCTTGCTGGGAACACAAAAAAGGAGGTGGAAAGGTAGAATTTCTGGTGGCTCTTTGCCACTCTGGAGAGATTTTTACCTCAGACAATCCCTCCTTGTGGTGTAATGGGAGAGGAAGAGCAAAAGTACAAATAAATCCCAAGATTATACCACCACTTTTTTTTAAATTATTTTGAATTCCGTGGGGTTTTTTTTGTAGTTTGAATGACAAGACTTGCTGGAAATCCATCTTTTTTACCTACAAAGTGAATAATTCCTAATTTTTTTTTCCTGTCCTAAACCCATTTTGTCCCTGGTGGGTTTTCTGTGTTCTTTGTGGTGTGGTGTGACCTACTCAGAGAGGAGCAGAGTCCTTATCCCTCCGTGGCCATATGTTCCCAGAAATAATCATCGTTTTCCATCAGGGCTTCTATTTGGGCTCGTCCCCGTCCATTTTGTTGTCCCTGCTTGAGTTTTTATAAATCTGCTGTGGAAATTTTATGGGGTTGGCAGCAGAAATGTGTGTCTGGAGGCAGGACTCCTTCCCCACCAACAATAAATAATTGTTAACCCCATAAATATCTATTTTGGACATCTGCACACCCAATAAACCCACGGTTTATCCCTTGGCACGTGTTAAAACGGGGAAAAATTCAATATAAAAGGCCATTTGTTCATTGCCCAGTTGTGCCTACGTGATCCTCGGTCCAGCTCCTTCTCCAGTGATTCCCTGTGAATCCACAATATTCCCATTTATCGGGCTGCCAGCAGTGCCAGGGCAGGGAGTTAAGACCGGGGCTGTCTCCCAAGGGATGCTGCAGATGCACTCAGCAGGAGCTGCACCCCCTCCCAGGGAATTGGCTTCGCTGGAATTCTCAGGAAATCCTTCGTGGAAGCCTCAAAGTTGGGATGGATTTGGGATGATGACATAAAAATATCCCTCCTGCTGCTCTGTCGGTGTGTATTCCCAAGTAAGGTCTTCCAGGGGCTTCCTAATTTTATATAAATAGCTGGCTGTTCTCTATAAGTTGCTGAATATTCTATATAAACTGCTAAATGTGATAGGAAAAGTTAAATATGCTATATAAATATCTAAATCCTCTATATAAATTGATAAATATTCTATATAAACAGCTAAAGATTCTTTATAAACTGCTAAATATTCTACATGACCTCCTAAATGTGATAGGAAAAGATGAGAAGAAGTACCTCAATTATAATTAAAATTTTATCATGTTTTCCTTTTTTGTCTTTTGTTTGTTTAATGCCAATTATTCCTGTATTTTATCCAATTCTTGGTGCGTTCTATTTTAATTTGAGGAGGGTTTTTTTTTTTTCATTCTCTTCCTCTACAAGTGCCTTTAATAGAATTACATAAATTCCTCTCTTGGAATTCTGCCTGCAATTATTTCCTATCAGTCAACCCCGAGCTTTTGTGTGTTTCTGCTTTCATCTCCTGAGCTGCTGTGCAGACGAATTACGACTCTCAGGCAGGTGCCTGGCTCGCTGTGGGATGATCCCTGTGGATACTGAAAGGGATTTGGCTGGAAAAATGGGAAGGGAAATATTTCAGCATCAGGCAGGTCGCAGAATTCCTGGGATTTGTCCCATGAAGGGAGTTGTCCTGCTAAGGGATGTGCTGTGCTTAAAAAAAACCAGTATAAAATCAGATTAACAGTGGAAATTATTTGGATTCGGGGTTGGTTCGCAGTGCAGGGAATAAAATGACTCTGGAAAAGTGGAAGTCATGGAAGGAGAGGGTTTTTCTGCTGGTTTATATCCAGAAATGCTGCACGCTCCTAATCTTGCCTAATTTTGAGTTTATTAAATGTGGGGTTTAAAAAATTGAAATTAAATTAAATTTTAAAAAATTGGAATGAAAATGAAAATGAAAATGAAAATGAAAATGAAAATGAAAATGAAAATGAAAATGAAAATGAAAATGAAAATGAAAATTAAAATAACCCTAAAATTAATTTTTTTTAAAAAATCCTCAAAAATATCTTTTCTCAGGAAATTTCCTCACCTGCTGCTCTTAATTTATTTATTTATTCATTTACGTACTGATTTACATTCTCCTCCCCAGACAGTTGGAATTTTTAAACTCCAGCCCTCATTCCCTTTCACTGTTTTCTCTCCTTTATCCAGGCAGAGATTCCCAGCTGGAATCACCTCACAGGGTGAGTCCAGTGTTTTCCAGCTCTGCTCCTGGAGTGCAGTTGGGGTGATTTCAGCTCATTGTCCTTCTGTGCCTCGAAATTCCCGTTATGGAAATCAGGAATTTTTGTGTCTGGCGGGAGAAGGGA